ATGTTCTCTATTTTACTGCCAACGTCAGTAAGTCTGGGAGTGATTCGCTTCAGGCATTCAAATTATAGATAATTCACAACATCCTCCTAGCAGATGCTCAGAACAAGGCATCTACTTTCCCAGGGCTCTCGAACAGTTCACAGGAGAATCTTGCTCTGGTTCTACAAGAGCAACTCCCTTGGTCACTGGGAGCTGTGTGAGCGGATTCAAAGGTGCAGTTGTAAGACCTAGAGGAAAGCTGAATGCATCTGGCTCCTAAAGACCAGGCCAATTCTTCCCTTTTTCTACAGCTTTCTGTCTTGTTCTTTGGGTCTACTAGAGACATGTTTATTGCGGTGATAACGAACTGCCAAAGAAGCAAGACAGCTGAGTAACCTAAATAGAGTTTCTCACACTCTAAAAAAGCTAAGTAGCAAAATGGGTTGAATTCTGGAAGCTTGGAAGTTGAATGCTAATCATCATATTGAACAGCTGGTGAAAAGGAAGAGCTGGCACCTAGGCAGTAAACCTGGCCCAAATATTACACGATAGAAGTATACAGGTCGTTTTATGAGAGTGAAGATAAAGTTTCAGCCTTCCGGTCTGTTTTTTTACAAAAACAAAAACTATCTATATTTAACTTTATAAATTTCTCTGCCGCCTTCAGGACATAAGCATTGGTATCAGAGCAGGATGTGCGGGTGGGGAGATTTCCACAGTCTGCAGTAATAAAAGTGTGAACTGCATAATCTGGGTAAATCCCCTAAGAAAAAATCCAATCCCTAAAATAACATTTTCAGAGCAGAAATAGAGCAGGTTGCAGGAGGTAGCAAAGGAAGAACAAAGGTGAATAAAAGAAAAAAAAGGAGCCCAATGAGGCCACAGTTGATAACAACTTTATTTGTAACCTCAACTTGCCGAGCACAGAGTATTTAGTGTACACAGCAGCTCAAACTTAGATCTGAAACATTTAAAATATTTCAGATTTTCCTGCATATGGATGGAAAAGTGTCAAAGGAGACATGGTAGCAGGCTTTATAAAAGCACTTAAGCAGAGAAGATGTAGGATACCTACAAAATTCATCAGGCGCTGTCTCCTCCCGCTGTTAGCGGGATATTCCAGCTCACCCAAGGAACCCTTTCAGGACAGTTATGCAGTTTGTGTGTAGAGCTCTACAGACTTGTCCTCACATCTTCCAGCTCTGCAGCCTACTTGGTCCTAGAAAAGTGGTGTATTTCTACCTATGTATGTATCTATATATCTATATCTATATCTCCGGCAGGGTCTGGAACTGCTTAAATGACTGAGGCTTTGTTTAAAAGGGTTATAACCTGTTAGTCACCCAGGTGGATGATGGCATATGATTTATGTCTATAGTTTATGTCTTGAAAGCAACAAAGAATTTTATTTAAAAATTGGACAGGAAACCATGATCTTTGAAATTAAATAAAATTCAAATACACATAAGCAGGTTACTTTCTCATAAATGTACAATTAAATACAAATAAAATTCTTAGACCATGTATCTTTGTATATACGTGTCAACCTGGCTATATATTCATGAGACTTAGAAAGCATTCATATTCTGGTTTTGGCTTGCTATACTCAAATATTTGCGTGTTTGCTACACATGGAGCTTGGGATTAAAGTGAAAAAGGAACACGAAGAGGTAGATCTGTGTCAAGGGTGGATACAAAAATACATCAGTCCTTACCTTCCTCTCCAGTTCAACAGTGAAGAGTTATCAGTTGATAAAGTTACTGCAAAACAGAAACAGTTAGCAGCTGTCACTGAAATCAGCTCCTGTGTTTGTATCAATGGCCCCCAAATCTGGCTGTGTTGACTTGTTTCCTTCCTTACAGTCATTCTTATTTTTTTCCCTGTCTAATGTCTTAGCTGGGCCATCATCAGTTTGAACTCATCATGGAAAACTCAGAATAGCTGATCTCACCTGCTAAACCCTGCTAGTTCTAACATAACTACCAGATTCTCTGTCACTCCAGGCCAAAATCTGTCATTATTTTCTTACAACTATGGTCGTCTTTCTAGATGTGTTGTATCAAATCTGTACCTTTTCTTCCACAGCAGCTCAGCCTGTCCAGTTCTCCCACATGCAGAGCCAAATCTCGTTTGCTCCTTGTTTCTCTCTTGCCTTGACCCTCGCAGCATCTTCCCATCAGAACTCCTACAACACATCACATACCACATTCACACCAAATGAAGTGCAGCTGCCAAGCCCCCTATCTGAACATTTGATCAAATCCCTCCCCTCTTTATGTCCCTCTGCTAACTCCTGTCTTATCTCATTAGGAAATCAAGCTACCAGTCACTACGTTCAAAGAATTTCTTAGCTCTCTCCTCACTACTTACCACCATTGCTGAGTCTCTTCTCCCCCCACATCCTCTCATCTACAGCAGCATTGCTCCCCTCAGAGGTCTACATGTTGGTGTCTCATCTCTTTGCTGTCCTGTATGCCTTGCTTTTTCTGCAGAGCTGCAATGTCACACCCTTAAATTTCTATATATATTCAATTTTCTGAGAAGACAACATGTATATCTCTGCCAACAGACTGCAACCCCCTTGGCCCAAGCTACAAAGACTTCTCATAAAGTCCTTAAGGCACTACAGTTAGTGCAAAGAAGAGACTACAAAGAATAACATAGTCCTAAATCAGTGTTCATAGCTAAAAATGCAATGACATTACAAACTGTGATTATAAATTCGTCTGTACTGACACAAATCAAGCAAAGTGTTACTAAGATCAAGAGCCTTTTTTAGAGGGATTCACTGTTGCTAGCAGAGTGAAGTCTATACAGTTTGCAGGGCATGCTACTGTCCATGTTTTGGTTTATTAATTACAAGAAAGGATCTCTGAGCATAATTTAAACCAGGAAATTCTCAAGCATGGGGAAAGTTATGTGCGTGCAAAAGTGGTCCTATATTTTAGAGGTGCAAGCACCTAAACAAGGTCTGGAAGTGTCCGAACAGCTGCCGTTTACACAGAGCGCAATTTTAGAAAACTTAACAGTAGACTCTGCATTTTTTATGTATGTACATTGCATGAGGCAAACTGTTTTGTAGAAGAACTGGGAAATTTGCCCTGAATATTGATCCTAATCTACAAATAGATATGAAATCCCCCTTGGTAGCAGTGATGATTTTTCAGGAGATCACAGACTTGTGTCATCTTTCTTGTTCAACCACAAGAGTTCCTTGTAACTCAGTCACTCTGCCAAGAAATGAAGCATAGCTTTGCTAGACTTACACATGACGAATGTTTCAATATATGCTGCATCTTATCTTCAGCAAGACCACCACATAGAGATAGAGGTATATATATAAGGATCAACTGCACAACAGCTTCTGTTTGTCCTTTTTTCTGTTCCATGATACCGCATTGCCTTTAGCTAATTCTCTTACAGATCTGTACGTTAAGTCCTATCTTTAAATTGTATTTTTATGGCAAATACAGGTTCTCAATTAGCATTGAACAAAATTAGTAAGGAACGTTTAATGATCCCTGGAACATGTTACCTAAGCAGTAAAAATGAAACAGCAAGGAACAGATATGCCACTTCTTTTTTGGGGAGGGATAACCAATACATTCTATTGAGAAATATGCTTCCCAAGTCTGTCTACATACTGCCCTACAAAATCCAAGTCTTCATTTAAACAGTTTGCAGTTCTGATATTTATTCAGATTTTTTTTTTTCCTCATGAACTGAATTTAAAATAATGAAGCATCTTCTTTGGAGCTTGCAAACAGCTGTAAAAATACATCAGCGATCGGGAGCTACCTCCTTATACCCTAATGCTATGTTAAACTAAAGCCAAAAGTCAGCACTGGTAAATGATACACACTGGAACAATTTTTAGAAATACCAAATTAATGAAAATACTTATCTTGCACTTTCCCCACATTCCACCAGACTCCATCTCTCCAATCCTCAGGAGCATCAGCAATACAATTATACATAACTAATAAAAAAAAAAAATACAAAAAATATTAAAAAGGAAAGAGCAGAGAAAAATGAATTGCATTTGTTTTAAAATATAACAGTGCTGTTGTACTGACTGCATATTAATTTTTTTATAATTCTATATATAGCCTGGTGGAGACTGCCCTGAATGGTGCCCTGAAGTCCTGAGGAAACCAGTTGCACTTGGTTTGATGTTTGTGCTCTGATTTGTTTCACTGCTGATTACACTGGTCTTGATTGCATCCACAGAGGGCATATTCTGCCTGTGACTCCTGGAACATCCAGCCACAGACTAATTAGACTGCACCTGAAGCACTCAGTAATGAGTAAATAGTAACTAATGGTAATTAATTAGTTATCAGCTATTGTAACCATTTGGTTTTGGTTTAAATATCTAACGACTACAAATATTTATCATTCCTTATGCAAGTATATCCAGGATATAATTTTCTTTCCTTACGTAGTAGGAACTTTCATGTTATGTGGGAAACTTCCTCAAAATAAGTTGTATGAAATCTTTGAGACTCACAGTTAACTGTTAAACACTCTAAATGGGAAGGCACCATTCTTTCAAAAAAGAAATGTGGATGCATGACCTACTTCTTAGAGGACAGTGGAAACACACATCCTATACATCTATGTTCAGTGCGTGCATTTGTAACTGTATTTGCTAGACGGGTGAGTAGGAGACAGATGCTTAATCATGCCACACCCCTTTAATTAATCCTTAATCATTGACTCACATCTACTGAATGTCCCTCAAGTGTTATTTTTTCCACAACATTTACCTTCATGTATAGTTCAACATATGCTGTTCGTTTTATGACTTCGGAGAGGATGTGGTTATGGTTTGACAGAAAGGAAGTTTTGCTGTAGATGGGAAGATAAAGCTCAAAGCACCTACGCTGCCTTTTGAACACCTTTTTTTTAAAAAAAAAAAAAAAAGATTAACTGTCTGCCTTCTTGTGTCTCTTTCTTGGACGGGCACTCAGTGCCTAGCACTCTTGGACGGGCACTCAGCGCCTAGGACAGGCATCCCATGTCCTGGGAGACGACAATTCTTGGCTCAGCCATGAATAACTGTGTGCTCCTGGAGGAACTGCTTATCAAAAGATCCCAACAGAAGAGAAGGACTTCACCCTCCAACTTTAAAGTGCGCTTCTTTGTCTTAACCAAGTCCAAGCTGGCTTACTATGAACATCGCCATGGGGTACGTCAGCCATTTTCTCTCTCATAATAGAGTAATGGAGGGAAGGATGAAATTTGTTAAAGGAAGGGAAGGATGCTAATGGAGGAAAGGATGATCTTTGATAAATTTTATTCACTTTTCTGGTACTTGCTACAGCACCATTCACTGAAAATTGCAAAGTCGTCAAATGGGTCATTTAGAGCTTCTGGTCAGTGCGCATTGGTGTGCATGGAGGAATAAGAGTACTTTGCTATTTTATAGAAAGGATCTAGTTTTGTTGTAGGAATTTAGCATGGGCTGCTATAACCAGTGTGTGTAACAGCTGCCTGAGCCTGTGCCTGGCAGTTCACATGGGTACAGGGGTGAGCTGGAGCGGCATATTGCGAAGATCACAAGTGTACCCTTAAAACATCTGCGAAAAAGTGTCACCCACAGATATTCACTCTCTCATTCTTTTCTTCAGGGCAGCAGACTGATGGCTGGTAGGAGACCAGTCTTGCATTTTAAAGTAAATTCAGCTACCATGTGTAACATGTCTAGTCTTTGGACTTAGCTTCAGAAGGGATGAGATGATTAAATCTGTACTCAGGCTAGGCATTGTTTCCCCAAGCTTGCATTTCCCTGATTTGCTAAATATGAAGAAAATTAGAAGTCAATCTGCGCACCCCATTGTGCTAAGTGTTCTAGTGAAGTGAGAATTATTTCCTTCTTCTATTTAGCCGGATGTTTGCTGATCCTCATTACAGTTGTAAATAATATTGCTTGTTTTCCAACAGTCACTGAACATGCTGTTAATCCATTATGTTCAGGCACTGTTACTGTACGCAGAGCAGAACTGGGGATCGTGCTGCTTTGCTATCCAGCACTGGCAACTTCGGACCATCTGATCTCGCTCAGTTGCAGAAAATTAAGTTAAGTCTGAACCCAACAAGAAAAGCGAAGTATGATGTGTCCTTGTATTTTATCATAGCCTCGTTCAGGTTGGATACCAGCTTTAAGGGTTAACAGTAATTTTTACTTGCAAGTTATTTCTCTCAAATATGCCCAACAAAATGTTTTTCTTGCTTTTATTTTATTATCTGTGTTTTTCTTACCTCCATATTTAAATAGGATAATATTTATCACTGTGTACTGTGTCTATATTTGGTTTGAGATTCTGTCTGCTCTCCAAACTATCTTTCAAATGCCATTTTAAGATTTTAAATTCCATTATTCTTGGTTAAATTTTCAAAAGCATCTAAGTGATTCTGCTGTAGGTATTGAGAGAAATCTTCACAACTAATTTTCTTTGGTGCTTTCTGGGTCTTGGTGGACTTGAGATGAATTCAGCATACACTTTGCCTAGATACTTTTGCAGAATTGCAGTAGGCGTCTGTCAGCATCTTTAGACACTGAAATAGTTTGGAAAATCTGACTCGGTGACTTCAGTGGGGCATAGACTTCATACGATATGTGAGTGTCTGGAAATTTTCTCTCCTAGTCTTCCTAAAGGTCAATTAGGGGAGATGACGGTTTGGTATATTACTACTTTATGTTATATATTATGTATTTTAAACATGCACATATTATATATGTGTAGATAGGCATACGTAAATACACATGTAACTTTAGGCCCTTATACATATTTGAGGGACAGTGGGTATATCTGTAATTATAGGGGTGATTTTCCATGAAACGCTGATTTTTTTTCTGACACAAACTGTGAAAATCAGGTTGTTACATGAATAGAAGAACTACGCATGGAACTGGGAGAAAAGAGTTTGTCCTGTGAAATACTCCCAGAACCGATCCTCAGCCTCTTCAGTAATCTTCCCCAAACTTAGACCATCCTGGTGTGACCCCCGCGTGGTCAGGTCATTGCTGTTCTGGAGAGGAAAGCTTAGGGCAGCCCATGTAAGCACTGTCTTGTTTTGTGCTGAGAACGGAATGAACCCCCAGCAATTGAGTTCACAGCTAGTGAAGGGAAAATTACGGTACCTGCCCGACATATGGGCTATGCCCATCCCTGTGAGTGAACCAGGATCAGGGAGCGTGTGCAAGGCATTGAAACTGATGATCTTTAGTGCTTATTCTATAGCACAAGCCCTGGCACAGGTTTGGCTCTGCTCCCCTGGGACTCTCTCAGATAATTTGTGAGGCTGGCAGGGGATAGCACAGGCTGTCACCATTGCCAGCAGGCAGTTTGCATATGGTCCCCCCGCTCTGGAGTTTTAGGGCAGAGTGGTAGGAACATCGCTGTTCTCTGCCAGCTGGCTGCAGTGGTGGGGAATATCTTCAGGCATGTGTACTGTACCATATAGATGGGGACAGCAACTGTCTGGGCTTTTGAAGTATGTATTTTTCAAGGGAAATGTCTGTGGATGTTTGCTGTAAGAGTTTTCAATGAGTTTCTTTAAGAATCCCTTACCAACCTGTCCAGTGGCTCCAGTACGCAGAGTTCAATACTCTACAGTACCCACCTCTCCGGTCCCCAATCAGTCACTAACAACAGCCCATGCACAAAGTCAGGTAAAACAACTAGCGAACTGCTTAACAGTTTGGAAAGTCCCACTGATTTCAATTGGGTGGCTTAAAGTAAAGCATACGCTTATGCATTAAGCCCAGGTTTACGTGTTTTGCCTGTATTTAACAGGGTTTAGCACCCAGTGCCTTCCTTTGCATTTTGACATCATGGGTATAAAAAGATGTTTAAGAGTTTATTGTAGCAGTCCAAAACAAGAAAATAAACAGGACAAAAGGGTAGAGGGATAATTCTGTAAATGATACCAAAAGCTGTCAAGATAACCAACATTGTAAAGGCAAATTTTTGCAATAACTGTAGTGGCATTTTCGTTGTAATGGACATAGCTAGACAGAAAGCACTGTTCTCCTCAGGGGCCAAGCACACAATCGCCATTAATGTTAATGAAAGATATTTACATATCTCATTAGGAGAATGAGCCCCCAATAACTGACAACAATAAGAAGCTGTCTTTTCTGGAATTCATTATGCAGTGCACAATGCAGGGCTGTCTTAACATAAAGCAAAGCCCTGATAGCAGGCACATGTATTCAGCCCCCGTCTCTACTAAAATACATCAGAAGTGCCTTTATTATAACATGCAAATCAATTCCACGGGCAAAAATTCTTTGTTTCCAGGGTCTGATTTTATAGCTACTGTACATGTGAGTAAATGAGCACATGGGAGTAATCATTTTAATTATTTAAATTAGTTTGATCCTCACCAGAATAACCAATAATGCAGACACTATGTGATACTCTCAGAGTCCCAGCACACTTGCAGTACTGTAAAAGAAGCAGACAAATGAATCCTTTGGAGAGGTGTCTACGACAGAGTTTCAAATGTCCTTACTTAGATTCAGCAAAAATACTTAAACTGGTGAGTTACCTATATCCCATTCACCTAACGGCTTATGCTGTTTGGCAAATCCTTCAGATTAGCAGACAAGAGAGTAAAGAGAGGTAGTTTAGTATTTCAGACAGTAAGTAGAGGTTCTTGCGTAGTCTTCGGCATGTCACATTCCTCCCTCTCCTGTATTTCAAGCTGGCTGTAGTCTAAATGTGGCACAGATGTCTGAGGATGATGCCACACTTCGTGAACAGGCCACTGTCCTCTGGGCTGGTGCCACACTAATGTGGTACCATTACCATTACATGATCTCTGCATCATCTTGGCATGGCTCAGACCTGCGGAGAGTGCTTGGGTCTGTCTGTAGCAACTATGGAGAGGTGCTTCATGTCCCTATGCTACAGTTTTCCCTCTTCAAAAATAGGCATCTTGCCTATACAGGCATTCTGAGAAGTATTTTAGGGCTGGGAAAGTTACACCTAACACCTGGGAAGTTCAGGCACATAAATATTTTTAAATTTTATATCTTCATGCACTCATGGGCTATTACTAGTCCAGGTTTTAAAGGCAGCAATGAAAGGCGTACACAGAAAAGGATCAACTTCTCTTTTCATTTATATCAGCACTATTCTTCCTACACTGGTCAGATTCTCGAGAGGTCACATAGTATGAGTCAGCCTTGTCCTGGGCTCTTTCATTCATTGAATATCTTTGATAGTCAGATATAAAGATGGAACTTTAGTGTGTCTTGAAATTTGCTTTCAGTCTCTTGTTCCAGGAGAACAAAGGAATAAACTTGGCTGAAAAGCTTTTTACGAGCAGCCTAAAAGTGCTTCAGCTGCTTCTGTTCCATTACCTACACATTGGATTTCTTGCGACAGTCCAGCTACCCACGGTAACAAAAGCAGCACTTTGTTCCTCAGTCCAGCAGTCCATTTTACCTTGATTATTCTACACACAATCCAACTTGTCCATCCCGCCCTGGAAAGACTTTTTTCTTTTTTTCCCTCCTCCAAGACTCTAATGTAAACAGACTAAGACTTTTCTTCTGAGGATCTCAGTTTTGGCGTTCCTGTTAATTAGAGTGGCCACTCATACCACTTCTCATTGCTTTGTGTATTCTGAATACCTTAACAGTCATGAAGCTATAATCCTCATCTAAAGTGAATTTAATTATGGTTTTAAAGATTACCTTCCAAATAAATACATATCTGAGTAGATATGTCATTCTTCATAACTTGTCATGTATTTATTACCAAGTTCTGTTTGCTTGCCAGAATTTGCAATACCATCTGCCTTCTGATACATATCTCCAACTAGTTTATTAATAATACACATATCACCCACAAAGAAGTCAGGCTTGGCATCTGTCTACATCACACCTGTTTCAATGAATTTTTATGTAATAAAATGAATACAACCTTAAATAAGATGGAGACAAGGTACAAACCTGTGCCTAATGTTAAATGAATCCTTTAGTACATTTCTGCAAATTTAAAATGCATTTTTTAATAATCCAAAATGTACTATTGGAGTTGAGGAAGGATTAAGTTCATATTGTTTGCCATAATGAGCCTCTTTTCTATTGTGAAATCACAGAACCATGGTAATACTGGTTGGAGGGCACTTCTTAAATTCATTTAGTCGGGCTTTGTGCACGGGTCCAGCATT